GAAAGAGATCGAAGAAGAGTAAAAATACCTCTTGGCATTAATGCCCGGTATCTTTGTACAACTAAAACTAATTCACAGTTCATTAAAGCCGTTCCTGTCCACAAAATTTTTGAAGACTAAATTTAAAGTACGTACGAAACGTTTTATTGGAAATGTTACCAGCGCCAGTACCTGACAGCGGTACGCTTGTCATGGGCATGGATGGCCGCGCAAGTTTACACGGAGTGGCGCAGAAATCGTGAGTCTCTCTCTTAATTTCGATTAGCGTTTTCTGTGTAAGAAAAAGCCATACAAAGTTGACCAATGAGTTTATGGAACTCTTTCTATATCCGCATGTCGAGAATGTTTTTTTTGTTGTTAGAAAATCACCTGTTATCTAATTGCTCGGAATGTCTTCTCGGCGCAGGGCAACTAAAGGAGAACATCTGAGATATGATCATAGTACATAAAAAATATTTTCTTTTTTCTGTTGAGGTGGGGATATGATACAAAAGAGAAATAAAAACAGCCGATTACGCTGATTTGGGCACTGGACGAAAGACTGCGAATAAAGAAAGAAGCTCAAAAATAATTTTTACCAGAATTGGCAGTAATGTCGCTATATGATTAGCCAATTTGCCGCCACCGATAAGGATACAGAAAACGCTGCTCGCGCCAAGTTGTCACGTAATGGTTAAGCATTGAAGGAATCGCTTTATTTGACTTCATTATCGGGGTTAAAAACAAAGCGACAGCGGTTTGTTGCGGTTTGTTGCGGTTTGTTGCAGTTTGTTCACTCATGAGTCCACAACATCTTGACCACTTTGATGACAAGTATCGTTGTCGAAAGAGTTCAGACCACGCTAAACCACTATCGATTTGTTAAATAAAAGCAATTAAAATACGTACTCCTTGAAAATCCTAGGTTTTAAGGCGCTTCGTACTTTCTAGAATTTGATTGGGTATCAACATGGAAAAAGCGTTATTAACGTGTACAGTTACTGCTAGAAAATTTTAAGAGGGAAATTAATTAAAAGCTGGGGCATCAAGTAGTATATTTCAATTCTTATTTGACGTAAGTGCTTGACTATAGAGGACATGTGAGGTGGGTAGATCTCCTGGTGATATTTCAGTCTTAATCAGAAAGACATCTGTCATTTAAAGGAAAGTGAAGAGTGCTTTTAGTAGCTGGACAATTTCCTGTGGATCTTTTTAGCTGTTGAAAATGCCCTAATCAAGTTATCCATATATTAACCTAACGATATTGAATCAAAGCATATCTCCAAAGCTTACAAAAGGTTACAGAGAGCTTACAAAGCTTACAAAGCTTACAAAGAGCTCACAAAGCTCACAAAGAGATGGCGAAAGTGCCTCCGGAAGAGAAATAAATACTCAACATTTCCAATGATGACAAGCGATCTTTGTAAATCTTCTAAAGAAAAACTAGAATAGAAGCTTTTACCGAAAAAAATTGTTATAACCCTCAGAAATGTGTGATTTCTACGGGTTCCTTCTTTGATATTATTTTCTTTCGATCAACATTGAACCACTTTGGCAACACTGCGGCATGCGGTAACATCTAAAACTAAATGCGTCTCTTAAAGTTTTTTCGGTTGGACTTCTTAATTCACCTATTTTGAGTGACTGTTAGTCAAAAAGGAAGACCGAATTACGTCAAGGCTGTTTCAAAGCGCCGAAATAATGATTAGGCAATGCTACTTTGGAAATCGAAAATTGATCCATCAGTGTATAACTTTTTATCAAAGTGGCGCGACTCCATTAGGCGCTACCGGAATAGATACATTTTGATGGCATCAACTGACGTCTTGAAGTATTTCTACTTACTTTGAAGTGTTCTTCTCATGGAAAGTTACATTAAAGCTACTTTATGATTACCGCTTCACCGCCTTATTGATCGATTTTTCTTAGAGGTTGTAACCAATGTGTCCCTTTTCAATGAGGCTATTAACGGCATTGTTTTTGTTTCCAATGTATTTTAGCCATCGTCCCCCTTTTAAAGTTTATCAAAATCGTTAGTTGCAACGTGATGTCCATATTTTGTGATCTACATATTGTCTTGCGCGTGCTGCTTTATCTTCTTCCATGGCCGACTGGGACTCAGTTTTAATTGTTTTCTTCAACAGCGGTACAGCGATTCTTGGCAGTTGTGCCAACCTTCTGATCATAATTTCATTCTTTGTGTTTAACTCGACAAGACAACCCACAGAGATCCTTCTTATCAATCTGTCTCTGGCTGATTTCCTGGTCTGTGCAGGCTACCAACCTCTTTTGGTGCTCAAGTTCAAAAATTATGGCGTAAGTCAAGTGTACATGTCATTCATCGGCCATAGCGTAATAACCGCCTCCATGACTGGTTTATTGGCTGTGAATTTCGATCGCTTCTCGGCCATATATTTTCCTTACAAATATATAACATGGATGACTGAAAAAAACACTATTTCGCTGGTGACAATTTCATGGATGATATCTCTCTCCGCTGGCTTGCTAATTGTAAGCAACTTTTCGATCGCCGCACATATCTTCCACTTGTACATCAGCCTCATAATCGTGCTGGTTCCCCTCATGTATAGTGTCATATACAGGGAAGCAAGAAAGCAGGCGCGACGCATCGTTAGCCAGACTGCAAATCAATTTCCATATCGAAACATTATGGTTGACAGGGCCACTAGAGGGGTTGGGCTGGTGCTGATAACTACTCTGACGTGTTGGCTTCCGGGGATTTTATCTCCAGCGATCGTTGCATCTTTAAAAAACCATGAAGAGATACGGAAGGTCGTGTTTAGCTGTCTCACGGCGATCTGTGCCAATTCCTGCATCAATCCATTCATCTACGTTTCCAATTTTTCGAAATTTCGCCGCAGTGTAAGGAAGTTGATTCAAAGGATTCTCGAGGGTGCTTCCAGAAGGTTACCTCCGACCCTCATCGGCCAAAATAGAGTTATTCCGACCCTCATTGGCCAAAATAGAGTCATTCCGACATAACAAGCTTTGGAAGAGTCTGAACTCTCTGGCCCTATTTCTCAGCAGGCGGTGGAATCGATTAGAAAAAAAAAAGCGATGGGTGAAATTCGAAAAACCCCCTTTCTATAATACGACTTGTCTTTCAGCAATGGACTATCAATTGTATTGCTCAAATTAAATTCTCCTCTCCAAACCGGGCCGCGAATACATCAGAACTGCGAAATTGATGACGTGAAACTTGTCTATGGTTTTCGATTAAGTTCGCACATTCGTAGTAGGAAAAAACGGATCAATAAGACGCCAAGCTTTGGTCTAATATTTTAATACAACAGGGTGTCAATAATTTACTCCGATAAACGAAAAAGAGATATCATTTGATCAGACTCTAATGAGCTGAATATCTTTACTCTTTTAGCACGGTTAGCCCACTCAAAGACGTTTTCAAAATTTTGCTTTCAAGGACAGGTGATATTCTTGATGGGACGTAAGCTGTAAATATTCTGTGTTACTCTGACAAGTTTTATAGCGATATAAATAAGCAATACGCAAAGGTGGCCTAAATCAAAAGATATTATTGATAACAACTCTGTTTGTCGTATTAATGGGACTTCAAACTGATTTTAGTTTATTAAGGGAAGAAGCTTGGGGGTGAATTTGTTTTCGTTATTTTTGATCAAAACAGGACCAGTAACGTTGACCAAACAAACGATTTAAAAAGTGAGCAAGTTTCAATTAATTGGCAGGTGTTATAATTTTGTAGTCGCTTTCTTGCCACAGTACATTAAATATATTAAATAGAGAATAACAAATGGCCCGCGTAGATATGGAATTTCTCTTCGAGTGTTCAACTCGATAGCTCCGAGTGAGCGCAGCGAACGGGTGAGATGTCGAGTTGGACACGAGAAGAGAAATTCAATATCTACAAGCAACCATGTATTATTTTGTTTATCATGTTAACACAGTAGCCTTTGGTGACAAGAAAAGTCGACCTCATTAATGAATGAAAATAAAAGAATCGACAATCGTACCGTACGTTGGCGCTAAGGCTCATGATGGAAATAATGGGTTGAATCATGATTACAAATAAAACAATGGGCGTAATTTCCAATCAAAAAAAATTCTCATTTATTGACTTTGTCCTTACGGACAGAAGAAGTCTTTCAGGTAAACGGCCAAAATCGGCCTGTGGCAAATCGAGTTGTCGATGATTTTCGCTCTCAGCCGCGAGAAATGAAATTACCAAAGCCACTGAATATGTAACTTTCGGTTTTTCTTTTCGTATTTGGCTTTGTTCTCCTTCTGGGAAACTTTGAGCCGAACTGTTTGTAAGCGATACGGATTTTTCACTGTTTTAGCAGCCGTAATCTAAAATTCACTCCAGCGGTGGCTGTATTTAAACTGCTACATCGATTCGGCAAATTCTGTGGAGCTGCTGGCATAGATTGTTTCATAATTCTTAGAGTTTGCTTTCTTGCCTCTGCGAAAATGAAGCCGTGAGGAGAGGAACTGACCCAACGGTTCTGGTGTTGTAGAGATAAATAACTACTCTAACCTTTGCACTTCCCCTGATCAGAGACTTTCGTCACGTAATTTATTTATGAGACTCTAGCGCTTGAGCTGTGTTTGACTGCTGTGTTTGTTTATCGTAATTCGGCTTTGAAATTTTGCGCGGGAAACTGGTGCGTTGCCGGCCAAAATTGATCCACTTGCGCGTGCCGACGTTTGAACACTGCTTTGGTTCGAAGTTTGAATCAGATATTGACGGCAAACAGGCAATTCTCCTTTTGCAACATTTTTGCAAAGTTTACTGAGAAACCAGTAGCACTTCTCATGTCGGCAGAAGTTAAGGCATAAAATTAGGTTTCATTTTGAAGAGAAAGGGTTTAAGTGAAATCGAACAGAGACGAAACAGAGTGAGAATGATAAAGAAGAAACAGGCAAGGAGCGAAGAAAGTGCCAAGTATAGCTTCAACAAATTACATACGAGGAGCAAAAAAACAGAAGAAACAATAAAGTTCTCATCTATAAGATCACAAAGAATGGGAAAAGGAGAAGGTGAGCTGAGTCTTATCTGCGTTTTCTTCACTACCAAGACTGGCCAAGGGTCACTACCAGTAGGATTTAAATTTTAAGTGATTGAAATTACGTTCAAATTTTGACTTTAAGCTTATATCGTTTCAGTATCTGCTTTAAAATCAATTATTGCGAGGGTTGTTTAAATATTCGCTTCAATAATTCGCTCTTCTCCTTAAGAACTGAACTTTCTTAACAAATCAATCCTCGAGGGTGTGCTTATTGAGACAACAACTGTGGGATTTTCACATGCTAAATGATAAATTGTGTACACCAAACAGCGGTGCACGGACGGGTAGGCAAAATTTTTCTGTCAAGGTCAGTCATGAAACTGAATGGCTTCTTCTTAAAATAAATGTTATTTCCCGAAATTAGAGCCTTTCTTGCTCTTAACTCAATTTCACAAATTCAAAAAAGAATTTAGAAGCAGTCAGCGTCGGTGAGTTCAGAACTCGGTAATTTAAATTTGCACGGATATTTACTGAACATTTCATTGTTTAAGACGTTGTTTAGATGCTATAGTAGAAGCCGCTAAAGCACAAAATAGACAGGTAGTAAATACATAACTTGTGCATCACAAATTACTTTAAGATGAGAGTAACATTATTAATTGTGAAGATGATGGTCTAACTTTTTACTTTTTCTCTCAGTGTCTGAAAAGTTTGATAATCACAAACCCCATATTTGTTGATCAAAAGAGAAAGCTGGTCCTCTCTGTACTCAAACAGACCCTTAACTGACTGCAGTTTTTAATAAGCTAATAAACTGTTCAAAAGCCTTTGTAGAGTATTGATGGCAGTAGAATTAACTAACTGGAGTTTTAGGCGAAATATTTGTTTTACGCTAATTTTGTGGGCCTCTGTCGCATAATGGAATATTGGGCCACGGGGAACAGTGATCTTCTTGCAAAATGTTATTTCGGTTTAAAATTTATGGGGCTAATTTTGAGCTTATTAGCTATTCATTGTCGGCCATCTTCTCTTTGAAGTAACCGATTTCAGGTCCCAGCTTTGTTGAGCTTCCAACAGATGCTTCTGAATCGGAAGTGCAATTAATCGACTGTGCAACTAAATAGCTCATAGACGCCAAGTTCAAGTTTGAAATTACTTGTAATTATGTTTTTCTTTCAAATCTATTTACCGATAGATATACTAACATTGAAGATAAGTGTCAAAGGGTTATGATGCCGTGGTAAATTATTAATGCTAGGTGATTTTTGTGCTTCTCTCTTCTTTTGTAGCTTAATTCAATTGAGAGCAGACGCAAGGGATCTTGGACGGAGCTCTGCCTTGCGGCTGTCAGTAGGAGCCTTTTTTCTCTAGAAATATCTTGCGAAAAATTAAAACAGTCAAACATATTCTTGGTGACAAAGTACTTTAATTTTTTCACGCATAGTGGGATTTTAAATTTTTTTCGCAAATTGAATACTTTGAGTAAGGAGTAAACAGAAACATCATATTAGCCGTTTGTTTGCCAGATGCTTGAAAATAGGCAAAATTAGTCATCCCTTGGTGCTGGGCTGAAACCTCTTGTTGCTTTTAGCGTAAAATGGGGATATATTTATTCAGTTGTTTGTTGAATCGAAGAGGGATTTGTTGCGCCAAATTTCATATTTCTACGATCAAAACCGACGTTACATCATGTAACAGATTTATAAGGTGAGAATATAGGATTCAATATCAAAGGCTTATATTCCTGTGCAGTAGCTTTGCTGCGTGTTTAACCTTTTTATTTTGTCGGGCAGTAACTCTTGTACTGCAGCTGTCTAGCATTCTCGGCTTAGCCGAAAGAGCTCTCTCATGAAACAGTCATCTTACGCTTTTTGTTAAACTTCTTGGAAATGAAAATATGCTCAATTTTTTTTCGCAGAAAAGATGCATGTCGAAAATTGAAAATTGAAACTGTTAGAGTTTTTGTTGCACAGAAAAAAAAAAACAATAGATCGTGAAACAACATATGGCGAGAATTTTATTTTTCTCCGAACGAGATATTCTTGTGAGGTTTCTAGGGGAAAACTGCCAACTAGTATGAGATACTTCGGGAATGAAAAAATTAAAAAAAAAAAAAGATACTTTAGTTGGTAAAGTTTCAATTCTACAACCGGAAAGGGGAATAAGGATAAAATGAATTATCTTTAGGGCGGATTCTTCAAATTGAAAATCAGAGCAAAAATTTGAGGTCGAAACTCCTTAGGAAAGTAATCACAAAAGGAGACTCCAAATTGCAGCCAAAGAAAGTCGCGGTTACAGAGTAAAATAGAACAAGAAAAAAATTGACTTGCGATTTAAATTCTCCAAACCTTATCGAAATTCTTCCGGAATGAAAGAACATGTGAGGCAAGAGGCTTGAATCCTAGATGAACGCTTAAGGATGAAATAAATCGGCAAGAAAGAAATGAAGTATTATATAGAAGCAAAACGGTGCAAACTTCGTTCAAATCGATAAAAAGTAAAAGATTCAGTCCGGTACATTTTGAAAATGTTACAGTTGATACCTCTGATTTCAAACTAAAACGTCATGAAGTTGCAAACCAGAATTTATTTATAACTTCTTACTAGGCAGATGTAGATTTTCAATAACATATATTTTTAATTTCTATAATTTAGCTGAGCTGAAGACACCAAAAGAAAAGCTTCAACAATCATGTTTTTCTATTTACACAAACACTGAGCAAAAAGATTCCAAAAAAAGCTCCGTTGGTTGAGAAAGCAATGAGTAAATAAGTAGATAAGTATGTGGAGAACGAGCGAGAAGAAAACAGCTATTTTCTGGTGCTGTGTATTAGCTAGTCTTCATGAATTATGAATTGGATAGCAATTTGACGCCCAAAAAACTTTAAAAAGAATATCACTAAGTTTCAGCAACATCGATGAGGTCTCATAATATAGTAATTTTACAGCTCATAGCCGCATAAAGAACCTCACTAACAAAGCAGGAGAAAAAATGCACGAAGTAGTACTGACGATGTACTATCAAAACCAATCCTGACCTTCTCGTTAACAGCACTTGATAAAACAGTTTGAAAAATTTCTAAATTTTTCTTTTATTTTCCCCCATCCCTTTTGTTTTCAGGAAGAATGCTCGCAGTTGAGTTTGCTGAATCTGCCTCTGTCATGGCACTACTTTTGATAATTTGTGTATTTACATTGAATGGAAATTCCGGTGCCTCCCCGACACAAGGTGAGCATTTTATAAGTTGTTACGACTGAAAGGGATAACATTAAACAGAACTTAAAGCACCAAGGTATGTATTTCTAGTCCAAATAAGACGATTAATTTCTCTAGTATGATCAGTAGGCAGATAACGAAGAACCCACTAAATTTACCTTGCTGAAACATTTGGCTTCGTAGCTCTTAACGCCCAGCCGGTGTGTGCGAGACAAAAATTGTCATAGTAATCAATCAGTTTTACTATAGCTTTCTATTCATTCTGATCTCTCGCACTATAAATTCTAGTGAAGAGTTAAACATTATCTAATGAGCAAGATGTGATGTTAACATTATTTTATTTGTTTTAGGATGTGGCATTTTGGTACAAAACACATTGAAAAGTCCGGGATACCCAAGCAATTACCCAAATAATATGGATTGTGAATATTCTGTTCCTATTTCACACGGAGGGCCAATGGGAATATATTTCGACGACTTTGACCTGGAATTCGAATTCTCGTGCAGGTGAGATAGTTCATTCTACCAGGAATGAATTTTTTCTCTTTTGCTTCTTCTTGAAGTGTAGGATCAAGGACTTTTTGTATTTGTTATGAGTCAGACGTTTTGCAGTGAAAATCCAGATTAAGGCAGATGACGCAGCAGAACGAGAAGTTACATCACTCCTTTAAAATATAAAGAACTTTCATTTATGTGCACAAATACAGTGTAACCCTCCTAACACGTAATCGTTTTTCATCACAAAAAAAAATCTTCCTTGATTTCCTCTTATCCCGCTTTTTTCTTTATTAGAATCGTTGATTAAAGATGATAACCTTTCCTCAGCGGTACCTCATAGTTTCACGATAGCAGTTTTGACTATTTTTAACCTAGTTTCCAAGATATAGAAATTATCTCTCTCTATCAAGGTCTATCTGTGCTATAGGGTATTTGTAGACGAGTACAATCGACCAAAGATAATATTTGGTACTTCCGTAAACCAAATCAAATATCAATATTTTCATCGTTACAGATATGACTTTTTAAAAATTTCTACTGGACACGGTATTACGTTTGGTCCATACTGTGATCAACGGGTTGGACAGACAGTTGTACTCTTTGGAGACTCTGCTTTGATAACCTTCCATTCAGACTATCTTGTTCGTAAAAGAGGTTTCCTTCTTCGTTTCAATACGGATCCATTCGGTGGGTACAGTAAGGATACTTTTATCATCTATAGTTTTTCATTCCAAATCACTACTAATATGTGTAGTACTGCTGCATTTGAGTATGGAAGTAAAAGAACTCATTTTGAATTTGATTTTTATTGCTTCATCAAGCCTAAGTCCGTAAGAATGTGCTCGTACTCCGAGAAATGTTCTAAAATAATGTTCAAGTAGAAATTTGCAAGAGAATTTTAAGCAGTATTTGTTTCTTGAGTTTGTTTTTATCACATGATCGAAATAATGTTGACACTGCCTTGGACTCCAGTATCTTTCCAGGTTTCGAAGCCGTTTATAGCCCCTATTAAGTAGTTTGAAAACCTTCATTTTATTTTCTTACCTAAAGAACCAAATACTATCGGAAACAAATGAATAAAGGGTTTAAGTTTCTAAAGAAACTGTAGCGCTGCGTCGGTGGGAGAGTATAACAGGGCAATTTTTTTGTTATTATTCGTATTATCAACTTAGTTGATGACGCAAATTGGCCATCGTAAAGAGTTTCAGAGCTGACGTTTCGAGCGTTAGTTCTGACGAAGGGCTGACGTTCGAAACGTCAGCTTTGAAACTCTTTACGGTGGCCACTTTACGTTATCAACCAGGTTGGTAATGCTAAATTACTATCAGAAACAGTTTGTTTTGGCTTGTAACAAAAATGTTCACGAAAGAAAAGACTTGCAAATGAGAAAGGCTTTTCTTCTTTGACTGAACTGCATACGAAGAGAACTATACAAATTTTTCTGGTAACTTCTTGTTTACTGGCTCCCTTCTCAATGCTGAGTCAATCATTCCAGGAAAAATACCTGGGGCAGAGATAGGAAAAAACATAAATTATAGAACCTATTTTTTGGCACAAAAACGTTCCGATCGCAAACGTGGAGCAAAGAAATAACTCGTTGGATCCATCCTTTGCCGCTTGTCGGATGTTTCCTCCTCCACGTATTTTCTTCCTTTTTCTATTTTTGTCAGTTGCAATTAACTTTATAATGAATAAATTTTAATAAATAAAGTAATTTTTCAACAGTTATATTTTTCAAACACAGTTCCACCCAGCATCTCAGTGCCAGCTGCTGTGGAAATATATCCAGGATCTAAAGTAGATATTTCAGTGACCGGAACGGTACCTATGAACACATCAATAGTAAGAAACACTTCTGACTTAGTTTTCACATCGGAGTCAGTCCATTTTCTTTTCCATCCTTATGAAGAAGGAAACTACACCTGTGTGGCTACCAATGGTTATGGTTCTGACTCAAGGGATTTCTCTATTGTTTACAGAGGTAAGACGTACCCGCAGGTTACCAGTTTACCTAAATTGAACGTCAGCGATGATATCAATACAACTTGTACAGCGCTATGGCTATCTATAATTGCAAATTTCAGTCCCCTGAAGTTCAAGGTTTAGTGGTTTGGCCTTAGGCCAGAAATCTATTTATTTGCTGATGAAATTAGAGTCTTCAGGGTTTCAGTTAAAGCTTGCTACATCGATTTTGATATTTTCGAAAAGATGACACTTAAATACTACTTTGTTTTTCGCGAGCAATATTGAACTTCGAAAGGTATGTTGGATACTTTTTCATATAAAAACGCTGGTGAAAAACAAACAAATTAAACGAAGACTTGGGGTAATAAGGAAGACAAAAGCAAGAAAGTTGCCATGCTGAAGGAAAATAAAACCAAAACGAACAAATAAACTAAGAAAACAAAGGCAAAAAAAACTGAAAAAGTAACAACTACTGAGTAACTCAAGGTAGTGTAAGTGACGTCATTATTAATGCCCATGGCTATGGTTTAAGCATGAGAACGCATGAGAAAAAACTTCACATTTTGTTGAAGTCGCTTGAAAGGACCAGTCAGTATTCACTATCGATCTACGGCATCGCCAGGGAATGTAAGGAAAATATTCTACTATGTGAAATACTTACAAAAAATAGCAAAGAATACCTTAAATAAATAGTAGCGAGAACTAAAGATCTAAGCAGTCTAGTTTAAAGTAAAAGGTCCCTGGGTTCCATGAATTCTTCCTAGAAACTAGTTTTGGGTTTTTTCTCTCGGATATAAAACGCTTTGAATAATCATAGGCTGACAAAGTCGTTTCTTGCTTTGCTTTAGGGCTTGGTTACATATTTTTCATATATTTATTCATTTAATAAGACATTCACTCATTCGCTCATTTAATTATTAATTCACTTATTTATCCAATCATTTTAGGATGTGGATCATTAGTAAATAATTCACTGATGAGCCCCAGATATCCACACCCCGCACCAAGACATATAAAATGTGTTTATTCGGTTCCCATCCCACTCGGAAAAGCAAATGAAATTTATTTCCAAGACTTTGATGTGGGGAATAGCTGGTACGTATACGGGTGTAGGTAAGTGGCTAAAATTAGAGCTACAGTGTAGCTTAGTATACCGATGTTACCTACCTCTTTTAGCCAATTGAATATTAAACATCCATTATTTATTTTTTTATTTCTGCGTTTTGGGGCTCCTCCACCGACGTTTTCCTTTGGGGAGGGGGGAGGGGGGATTAACACGTTGAAAGGTGAGGGGCTTTAGGTAATCTGGGAATATTAAAAAAAAGGTAATGTTATTTCTTAAGAATAATTCTCTTTCTACAAACAATGTTAACGTGTTCATGAATGTCCTATTTTAGATTTGGTCACGTAGACATCTTTGTTGAGCAGAGTTTTTTTGGCAAATACTGCGGTAAGAGAACTGGACAGAAAGTGACAGTTGGTGGTGACTATACCTTAATAAAATTTCACTCCAATGGCTATGGGAGAGGATTCTTCTTCCGTTTCAATTCGGTTCCCGCCGGTATGTACAGACAGGTTTATAACATAGCTGGTTCTTTAAGTCATTAACTTCAATAGGTCACATGAATCTTTTTGTCAGAATAACTAATTTCGCCACTAAAGCCTTGTTTTGACAGTGCGGACTGATGAATTTTACCTGGAAAATACTCCCAGACACTGAAATTAAAAGAATACACGCTTGGAAACAACAAGGAAATGGCAAAGGTTCATAGAATTTTATTTAAAACGTGGCTTGAGGGTAAATTGACGTCATCGTTCAAAAGAGCTATTCCGCGAGCGTGCCTCTTCATTCCCATTGCGACCGCCTATAATGAGGGAAAATTTCACACACGACGTACTGCGAAGTTTCCATACAGTTAAACCGCGAGTATTTACGTTTTAGGATGTTTTTTCCTTGCCATTCTGATTGAGATAATATCGCATATTGGCTTTGAAATATGATCTGTTCTTATCGTTGAGCTTTAAAGATGGAATAAGATTCATTAATGCATCTGCTCCTTTTAAATCACCCATTCTTTTTTTTTTTGAGGTTGTTCAGTTACTTTTTCGTAAGCACTCTATGACAGGTTGATTTGTCTTACACACCACCACCACATTAGACACAATAGAGCGGATTGTGTCAAGAACAATAACAATAATTACAATAATACTTCCAATAATTTATTATTATTATTATAATAATGATAGATTTAATGATAATGATTGTGGTGAGGATAGTAATGACGATTCGAGAAATCATCAGTATTCATCCATAATTTCCTTTTTCTTGTTTTTTTTAAATTTAGTTCAACCCAATATTTCAGTATCAGCCGTAGTGGAAATCTTCCCTGGATCTAAAGTAGATATTTCAGTAACAGGGACGTTTCCCATTAACACGTCCATAATGAAGAACGCTTCTGACTTAGTTTTAACATCAAATTCAGACCTCGTTCATTTCTATCCTGATGAAGAAGGAAACTACACCTGTGTGGCCACCAACAAGTATGGTTTTGACTCAAGGGAGTTTTCTGTTATATTCAAAGGTAAGACGAAGGCCGCTAGTGAGAAGAGTGGCCAATAGTTAAGATTTTTGAAAACTTACGAGGAAGCATCGATGGCAGAATAGCTCATTGCTCATAAATTATTTTCCACATTTGTGGCAGAACATCGTAATACACTTGCTACAGTTTAGTTCGTTCGCGTAGTGACTCTAAGTCGACCTAGTGCAACCTAGTGCTACACGGCCGGCTAACAACTGGCGCAAGTGTCACGTGACAAAATATTTTTCTCGATTTGCTAAAAATTTTCTGGATTTTGGAAAGATTCTTGGATAGTAAACTATTTCAATTTTTATGAAATTTATTTGTGGATCTAGAGATATAGAGTAAACATTTTTTCGGATTTGCAAAATATTTTTGGATTGTCCCTTTTCGGCTTCCGTATTCTTTCTTTACCTCCTATTTCTTAGTTCATATTTATATGTTGATTGATTGATTTATTTTTTACTTCTTAATTGTTTATTAATTTATTCCCCATAGTATGCGGATCATTAGTTAATAACTCACTGATAAGTCCCGGATATCCATACCCTGGCTTTGTACAGATGAAATGTGTTTATTCAGTTCCCATTCCACACGAAAAGGCAATGGAAATTTATTTTGAGGATTTTGATGTCGGGTACTATTGGCGGTGTTTGTAAGTAGTAAAATCTACCTCGTCAAGCTAAATTGATAATTGGTATTATTTACTTCGTTTATTACTCTCTTGCTTGAGAGTGTTCCCTCAAGGATTTTCAAGCGCATGGATATTTCAAATGTTAGTAAATTCCTGAAGCTGACTAATTGCCCAAATCAAGCAAATGAAGAAGAAAACAATTAGACAAAGAACGCTATCACGAAATGATAGCCGTAAAATTATTTTAAGGATTTGTTAAATAATTCTCTTCAAAAGGAAGGATTCCCTTTTGTTTTCCAACAATGGAGTAATGGCAATTTGTCTATGGGCATTTTTTGAAGTGTTTCCTCTGATGCTTCCTTTTAGTTATGGCTCGGTAACCATTTCCAATGAGCAGAACTTCACTTTTGGCAAATACTGTGGTAGAAAAATTGGGAAGACAGTTTCAGTAAGTGGTGATTACGCCATAATAACGTTCCACTTCAGTGGCCGTGGGAGAGGATTCATCTTACGTTTCAATACAGTTCCTATTGGTACGTAAATTTGGATGTGAAACGTTGAAATCTGAAAGTATTCAAATAATTTGAAATTGTTATACTGTCCAGAAAACCTGAATGAGGCCATCTCCATGTTTTGTTTTAATTTACATGTATATCACTGAAAATACTCAGCCCATCCATGGCCTCTAATTCAAACGAAACTATTATAACTAATCAGGCAAGCAAAAGGTAAAATAGGAAATGTTTATTATCATAATGATTATCATAATTGTTATCATTTTTTTATCAATGTTATCGTTACTATTGTATGAGATCTTTTTCAGGTTTTCCAAACATACCAGCGGGTTTCATATAATAATTCACTAGATGGTAACTCTCCTTTCAGTAATAATCTTCAAACTTTTCTTTATTAAATGTAGTTCCACCCAGTATCTCAGTGCCAGCTGTCGTGGAAATCTTTCCAGACTCTAAAGTAGATATTTCGGTGACTGGAACGCGTCCTATCAGCTCATCAATAATAAGAAACAGTTCAGTTTTAACATCAAATTCAGCCCTCATTCATTTCTATCCTGATGAAGAAGGAAACTACACCTGTGTGGCCACCAGCAAGTATGGCTCTGACTTAAGGGAGTTTTCTGTCATATTCAAAGGTAAGACGAGGGCCACTAGTGAGATGAGTGACCAGTAGAGAAGATTTTGAAAACTTGTAAGGAAGCAAAGTTTTGCGGAAGTCCATTTTTCTCAATTTTTCCTTGTTTAATTACTTTCTTCCTTATTTCTTTGTTAAGTTATCTATTTATTTATTCATGTATTAACTTATTTACTGATTTATTGACCGTAGGATGCGGATCACCAGTTAATAGCTCACTGATAAGTCCCGGATATCCAAACTCCGGCGCATCACGGATGAAATGTGTTTACTCAGTTCCCATTCCCCGCGGAAAGGCAATGGAAATTTATTTTGAAGATTTTGAAGTTGGGTACAATTATTGGTGGTGGTTTTTCTGGTGTGGGTAAGTACTAAAAACTACACTAGATCAGAGCGCTGGCGTTAAACTAACCAGCCTAATCAAGCTAACTTACTATTTATCGATAAACTGAATAATTGATAATTTTGCTTGGGAATGTTCCTTCAAGGTAAATGTTTTGATAAGAGAGTTAAAGTGGTTAATAAAAAGCGCTCCTCATATTCATACGCTCATTAAGCACATGGTTAATTCATATGTTCGTTATTTCCTGAAGCTGACTGATTGATCAAATCCAGTAACTGGAGGAGTACAAACAAACGAACAAACAATGCTATCATAGAATGAACGCTATTCTAAGGATAGCCTAATTTCGTTATAATTTTGTTCCAAGAGAGGATGAAGCTTAAGTAAATTTGTCTCATCTCCTCTTGTTATCTCTCAACAGTGGATTGATAGTACTTTGTTTATGGACGTTATCTCAACCTTTCCGTTAATGCTTTCCTCCATTTATGGCTTACCAATAAGTGTTTTGTTGTTTTATCCCTTGAGGATCTTTCCTCAGGTTTTAAGGCTAATACTCCTTCAGGAAATGAAGAACTGAAACCAAACAACAAACAAAACAAAGTGTTCTCCGAAAAGACTGCCACAGACAAATTTCGGTAGTTAATCTTATCTCTTAACTATTCTCTTTCTGCAAGGAAATGAGGATAATTCGTCTATAAACGAATGCTCATTTTCAGATATGACTTTGTGGCCATTTCTAATGAGCAGAATTTTACTTTTGGCGAATACTGTGGTCATGAAACCGGGCGGAGACTGGTAGTCACTGGTGACTTCGCCATAATATCAGCTCGTTTCAATAGCTATGGGAAAGGATTCATCTTCCGTTTCAATGTCATTCCTACTGGTATGTAGAATTGGGGTAAATATGGTTATAGGATGTGAGTAGTCTGAAAATGTTCAGTGAGATGGCAGAAGTGCAATATTGCCTAGAAATTATAGACAACCGCCCTTTCATACTTATTTACCATACAGACCATACAGATTAAGTGGCCAAAAAAAAAGAACAAAACAAAACAAAACGATAGAAGAAAAAATTCCCAGGTCGCGCATGTCAGCAGTCTACAGTCCAAATAGGACAAAAGTAACTTCTCTGAGTCCAGCTGTGTACAAACGTCGTCTATAAATGATGGCGATAACGATAATAGTAATGATTATAACAATCGTTATGATCTAATGACGACTATCATTATTTTTATTATCATTATTATTGTTATTACTTTTACCATCATTATTATCATTGTTATTACGACGAGTGTGATTCGAGAAAATGCGTTTTTTCAGGTTACTTAGTAGCAGGGTCTTATAAAATACTAAACTAGATGTGCTCTCCTTATTTTAAGGTGCAGTGCTGTTTTTTTTTTCGGGATCGATCAATTAAATCAGAAGGATATAACCGAGCTATTTAACTTCCCGAAAGCTGAGGACTTAACAGATACAGTGCAAAAAAGCCTTGGTTTTATACTGTGCACACACAGAAGAAAACAGTAACAGACAATCGAGAGAAAAAAAAGGATAGAATGAAGATAGCATAATTAAGGATATTAATAATACTAATAATTATATGTGAATGAAAGTGATCCTCGCAGTAATGTGCACTACCTAAGCAGTAGTGAAAGTATGGCCTTCAAAAAATTCAATCCCGTACAGGCCTGAATTTTTTTCAGGCCTTACTTTCACTACTGCCTAAGTAGTGCACATTACTGCGAGGATCACTTTCATTCACGTCTTCATCCGCAGTTCAAATATATGACTTTCATATATTCTTAACCGTTTATTCATCACTTCACGGGTTTATTTGGAACCAAAGTCATGACCAGCTCCCAGTTGGCTTGTTAGCTCAGTTGGTAGAGCGCTGCACCGGTAT